AGAAGGGTGTAAGAAGGGCAATTCAGGTAGCACTGCAGGTAAAAAGGCAGGGACATATACTGAAAGTCAAACCTTATATCTGAGGCTAAGTTGTGCTAGTGAAGGATGCCAGTGGATGCCATTAGTAGTACTGAAATTTTTAACTGAAGTACTGACAGATATCGCTTGGGATACCTATATGACAAGTGAAACAGAACTAATAAGAAGACGACAGCAAGTTAGTTAGTCAGCACTAATAAGGTTTGATTTATTGAGACAGGATCAGTGATTGTCTTGTGCTAACATTTTAGTCTGATTTTTCCCATAGGTTAAGATAGAATCTCCATGTTAGAAAGATAAAATCTTTAAAAAAGGCTAACAAATGTGAACTGACCACTGAAAACTAAAAAAATTAATCTGCTTTTCAGATTCAGAGATTTAGGGATTAATGTTTTAGAAACATTAGCCTGTAGGTCAAAATATTAAGTTATCTAAACTGAAGTGTATTTTCCAGTTACAAATAATCTCTCTTCAGAAGAATCGCTGTAGTTTAACTCACTGTCGTGGTTAGTATTAAGCAGCACTAACTGAAGGGGCTAGCACAGCAGCAAGTATCACGAGGCTGTTACCTGTACTGCAGTTCCACAATTCCACTGGCTAGGCCAGTAACAGTTTCCAGCTCTTGCCCACATTTTTAAGCTAAACAATTTAAAACTTCAGTCCAACAACTTTCAGAATTGCCTGCTTTTCCTGGAGAGGAACCACTGCACTCGCACATAGTAGCTGATACAACTGTTTTCAAAAATCTCACAGAAAGGTGAAGCGCTGACCCATGCTAATAAAACACAAACACAACCTCTTGCACTGAGGAAATTCTGCAGATCCAGGCTGAGGTCCACACTCCTCCTGCTCTCCAAACACAGCCTGACACGCACTGAGGGAGCGTCGCAAAGGGGCTGCCTGGGGCAGCAGGACCATCCCGGCACGCAGAGCTCGTCATCTCCAGGAGCTGCATTGGAACCAAGCAGTGCTGCTTTCCCAGGAAGCTGCCAGATGGCAGATTCATAAGAACGGATTCACAGGTCCTTCCCCATTCCTAACTTTTGCAAGTCACTGAGCACATGAAGATGCTCTCTGTACGTGACTGCACACCCAAAGGGACATGAGTCTGCTCCTTCCTTACCTCTTCTTTCCTCACACATGAATCTCTTTTGCATTTAGGTATTCTCCCTGCTCACATAAACAAAGGTTAACTGTCCCCAGAGTCTTTCAACATTACCTTGACCACCAAGGAAATAACCCCCCAGCTTCTCAAGGGACTAAGCAACCTGTTTCTATAGCATTCACGTGTAAAAAACAAAGTTTCTTCTTTGTTTAGGGCTTTCTACAAATTGAAGGATGTTTCTAGTTATTAATGATGATTAATCTCCTTTACACTCCCTTACACCACAATACCGACCCCTGATACACTCCCTGATAACTCTCTTACATCACGATACTCTGTCCATAATATTTCCTTGTCAATCAACTTGTAAAGATCGTAAATTCTCAAAAGTTAAATGAATGTTTTTACCTCTTTGATTTTGCTGTCTGGATAATGTCTGAGAGGTCACTTTAGTCCACATGCAGCCAGTGACATCCTCAGCAGATCTTGTTCCCCATGTTTGTAGGAAGCTAAAATTGACTAATGCAGTAAAAGCAAAAGAGATATAGAACTTAGGGAAATAAAGTGAAATAAAAAGTGTGAAATTTTAAAGACTACTCTAAAGATGCAAGAAACGTGATCAGATGTGCAAGGAGGCACCCAGGCCATCACTCCAAATGACCTTCTGCCTTTGACAGCATCCCAAACTTCCCTAATTAGAGACTCGCTCCTCGCAATTACTACCGACTCCCTGCTGACCTTCTAACCTCCCTTGGCCACTTGCATCCCTGAACCTTGGGCAGGCTCCAAAACGCAGAGCAACCAAAGCGCACACAGGGTGCCAGGAGGCAGTAAGCAACAGTCCACGGTGCTCCGGGGTGCACAAGCTCAGAGGAGAGCAGAGCTCGAAGGCGAGAACACACAGGGAGAACCTGTGAGTGCAAACAAAACAAAGAGGAGGAAGTTGGGAAGTGGCAGCGAGGTTGTGATCACAGTGAGAGCAGGGGCTGGAGGAGGAGAACTACAGGAATGTGAGTGCACGTAGCTGAGGAACCAGCTACGTAGCTGGTTTAACTTCAGATCACTCTCAGGCAGATCTTCAGAGCAATTTTTAAAACTATGTTGTTAATTTTCCTTTTATCTTTTTTTCCCAAGTCCAAGATCTCTTTTTCTTCCTAACTTTTACAGCATTGGTCTACAGTGTTACCTTCATATCACACAATTGGAGGATATACCCAATAAGTCAAATCAATCTCTTCTATTTTAATTTCCACACACCAAATTCAAGGTCTGCATGGAAGAAAGCAATTTTACAAGAACAAGGAATTTTACTTTAAAATACATATATAATAATAGGCTGCCTAAAGTGACTGCATCACAATCTAGTTTCTGGCTTCTTCTCTAGCAACGAATTTGGCCTCAGCATGAGTCCCTTGTATATTTGCATTTTTTTTCCTTGAAGGATGGTACAAGTCAATAAAAGAACAGTAAATGACTAAATTATTCTTGCACGTCCCACAGCAGCAGCAGCAGCACCACAATGTGCTCTGCTTCTTTGCAGATTTGCCAGCTGGGCGAAGACCTGTCCTCCCCACGACCGTGTCTGCTTGGCACAAGGTGGAGTGAGCAGTAAAAGGAGGTCCTGAGAGCACTGGGACAGCAAAGCCTTTGCAGGTCGGTGGCACTGACAGGGCACTCAGAAGGGTGGGCAACAACGGAAGGTCTGAAGGCCAACTGGAGAGAGATGAAGTTTCCAAGGCTCATCTAGAAGAGGTAATGGTTTCACCTGCTGGCACTCAAGGATTTTTGAGTAAAGATTGTCTTATACACATGGGAACGTGCAAGCAAAGGCGGCAAGTTGGACAGAAGCAGAGCAATCATTATTAAAGAGAAGAAGAGGGTCTTCAGATTTGAAAATGGCTAAATAGTAGGCATTTTGGAAAACTTTTAAGTGGGATAAGTATACATTTTTCAGGGACGTGATTTTCAGTTCATGTAGTACCTTCAAGTAATGCAACATAGTAGTTCATGGGGAGAGAATTAAAAGAGGTAGAATAAAGTCATGAAAAGAGTTCTTAAAACTTCTCACATTTATTCTGTGTAATCTATTACACTAACCTCAACTCCATGGTATAGAAGCATCTACTAGAACATGAAGCAACATGAAGAACCTCACTGACAAGTGATTTTTCCTTCTTTTTTTCCTGCTTCCTCTGAGAGTTATGTTGCAATGTAGTGGGGGTACTGGTATTGTTTCAGATTTCAAATGAGTTTTGTATAATGCACACCAGAACCAACAAGACTTGCTTCTAAATTAAGATATACAGGCCCAAAGTTTGCTGAATATGCAATGTTCTAGAATCACAGAGTCACAGACTGGCTGAGGTTGGAAGGGACCTTTGGTCCAACCCTGCTACACAAGCAGCATCAGCTAAAGCACGTGGCACAGAATCACATCCAGGCAGGATTTGAAGACTGCCAGAGAAGGAGACTCCACAACCTCTTAGGCAACCTGTTCCAGGGCTCTGTCACTCCCACAACCAAAAAGTTTTTCCTCAAAATCACAAAGAACTTCCTGTGCTTCAGTTTGCAGCTGTTGCCCAGCGATGGAACAAGAGGTGGGATTGAAAAGAATCCACCCCCCTTCTCCTGACACCCTCTGTCAAGGTATCTCAGCTTTCTCTTTCTTAGGCTAAGCAGATCCAGCTCTGTCAGCCCATCCTCCAACCCCCTAAGCATCTTTGCAGCTCTGCACTGCACTCTCTCCAGCAGTTCCACATCTCTCTTGTACTGGGGAGCCCAGAACTGGACACCATGTTTGCTTCTTCAGCAATTCCAGAGGACTAGCTCAAGTCTACAGGACAACCTCAGTCCCGCAGAGGTTGTATACCACACATCAAAGAATAAGCACTGACCAGTGGACAGATCTCACACCTGTACTTTCCTGGGTGGCTTAAAAATAAAAAAGACACAACCTCAATTAAAATATACACTAATAATTACAACACCAGGAGTGCAGCTGAACTGAATCTGAGTGGCTGGACTAGCAACAATTGTAGCTTTTGCTCCTATTTCTCCTAGTATTTGAAGGGAACAGTGACGTGGTAAAGCACTAGATATTGTGTTTCGTTGTTTCTAACCACAAAACTATAAACTGTATCAACGTGGTACAACTGTTTTAATAGACAGTTCTGAGATACTATTTCTTCATTATCATTTTAAAAAACATGAGGCGTTAGTAAGTGTTATGAATGGACAAGTAAAGAACGCCTACCCACAGAGCTTGGATTTGTTTGCTCAATTCAATTCTTAAGTAAAGCAGCTCTTTACAGTCACACTGCCACTGAAGTCATCAGGAAACTTCCCATTCCCTTACACAGAAGCATGACTCGAGCACTAACACACACCTATTACACCGTGGCACATCTCCAAGGCATCACTGAAAGCAGAAGCATCAGCACCAGCCTCTCATCGTCTCAAGCACCATTATTCCTTCACTTTCAACCATATAATATCCACTGGCTAAAAACACGTAATTGATGCTGACTGAGAGCATCATTTAATCAAAACAATAGCTTGCTGTGTTTCTGAGGCATCTTTTTTCCCTCTGTTACAATGCTGTGGGTGTCAGGAGTTACACCAAGCAACGCTACCACGGGCCAGCCACAGATCCTTGGACAGCAGCGTTTGTACCTCCCGCCAGAGGGGACTCATCGTGACTGCAAAGCTAAGGCCAAGACATGTCATGACCAACTACTTGGAAAGGCGCCTGAGAATTTCCAGCTCAGCTCCGCGGCAAAGGCCTCCATCCCACTCTGCTTTCCCTGGGAAGGGGAGGCCGGAGGCGGGCGACGCGCGGAGCAGGCGCCACGCTTACCAAGCCCCCGCAGATGCTGAGGACGGCCGTGTGCGCGCGGCGCGCGTTGACGTGGCCCCGGTAGAAGCAGTGGCGCAGGTCGGCGGCGCGGCGCTGCCGTGGGGCGCCCACGTGCGCCACGCGGAACCGCGCCGCGATGAAGGCCGCCTCGGCGCTCAGGTTGAGCTGGAAGCGCTGCCCGTAGGCGCGCAGCTCGTAGAGCGCCCGCCCCGCCGCCGGCTCCGGCGGCGCCTCCGCGCTCCGCTTCCTGCGCCGGTAGTGCTGCGTGTGCGGGAAGACCTCGCCGAACTCGTTCACTCGCACGGGCGTCACTATTTCGTAGGAGGCGAGCTGCTTCACTAGGGTCTCTGCAACGGAGAGCGGGAGAATCCGCCTTACCGGCGGGCAGGCGCGCAGGGCGGCGGGGCACACGCGGTCCCTGCAGCCTCCCCTCCGCACCCAGCGCATCCCCGCTCCGAGGCAGGGCGGCAGCCCCGGCCTGCCCCGGCACAAGCGCCCAAGGGGCAGCCTCGCCGGGCGCCCGCTGCCCCTCTCCGCCCTCCCCGAGAGGCGCCCGCCGCGGCAGCAGCTCCAACCGCGCCAGGGGCACCGCGGGCCGGCGGGGCGAGGGGCAGCCCAGCCGAGCCCAGCCGAGCCCAGCCCAGCCGAGCCCAGCC